GTACGGTGAAGGTCCCCACACACCTTACAATTTATCTGCAGATTTTCTGTGGTCAGATGGAAAATGTGTGATTGGCCCAGGTGCAGATTACTCCATCCACACAGTTTAGCATAGATGGGGGAATCTGTTGCACCTTTTCCATCTGACCACAGAAAATCTGCAGATAAATTGTAAGGTGTGTGGGCAGCTTTTGACTGAGATTAAATTCTCTTAGGAAAGGAAATAAAACGTGCAACACAGCTTAGCCGTTATGATATCATCTCTGAATGAAGGTTAGGATGTCTCAGGACAAGCCCCCCTGGTGGATACGAGTCCTCATTTCTAACAATGTACACAGCCAGCGTTTCACAACAGATCGGGGATGACTAATGCAGCCGAAAAAGATAATTTGGTTTCAGATCTTATCTGTCAGATTATTACAATTTAGCAACAACTGTATAGCAGATTATCTCTCATATTCTATTTTATTGAATTGGATTGATGATCAGTTTGGGTGACCAAGAAAACGCATTTTTTTAGCATATTCTTTAATTTGAAACAAAATCTGACATTGTGTGGCCGGTAGAAGTGAACATTTCACAATTCCATTACTAAGGCCTCATTCACATGGGGACATACACTGCCTTCTGGGATTCCTACGCCAAGAACCCACAGATTTCTATGGCCGGAATCCCAGGTGTCCTTGTTCAAGAGAAGCTGTTGTTAAAGTGTTTAAAGACTGGACCTGTCAGCCGAAAATCTGGGTCTGAACGTGCGAATTGTGGCCGTCAGCGACTAGTCAATGTTAGGGCAGAACGGAGAGTGGCAAGACTGGTACAAGACAACAGAAGGGCAACAGTGCAGTGTCAGATTCCTCGCATCACCTTTCAACATCTCGTAGAGTTACGAGGCGGCCCAACGAAGTACTGATGGCGCGGCCATAATAATCTGGCCACTCAGTGTATGATTACATGCGGAATGCCGCTGAGGGATGCGGCTGCTGGCACCCTATCATTAACTTCAATGGGTACAGCGGCTGCATTTGAACTGGGTCACCTAGCATTCCCGCCGCAGGAATATGTAGGTTCTTGCCATAGGAATCCCAGAACGTCCCAACCTAAGGGCTCATTCACATATACTGTGGTGACTTGCACTGTGACACATCAGAACAATGCAGGTCACTGCCAGGACACATAGAAAACCATTGTTTTCTGTGTCTGGTGTGCAGTATCCGGCACAATTGTTTTCTGTGTCCCATTCACATCCAACGTGGGTGTAATGGGGAGCGCAATGCAATAAAATGCAAACATGCTGCCTTTTTTTTATAGTGCAGTAGATGCCACCACGCACAGCACTGTCAATTGGGGACCGGAATGGAGTGTACACATTGTACACTACACATAAAGCTAAAAAGAAGAAAAAATTTAAACAGTGACAGCTTCGGCAGTGGGTAACATACACATTGCCAGAGATATCACAGCACATTAGCCGATCTGTTAAAATGCAGCATTTCAGTGGACATGCTAGTGTGAACGGGCCCTAAGGGTCCATTCACATCAGCCGCTGCGCAACATCACACAGCGTACTGTTTACTTTCTTTTATTAGAACTTTATTGAAGAGTCACAAGTGACATTTCATTTAGTTGAATAGGCGCATCGTGGAGTGAGAGGGTTGTACCACGTCACATTCCGATGCGCTGAAAAAAGGACTGCATGCTGTACTTTTTTCAGTTCACATCACCGCAACACGTTGGTGGGAACTGTGCCCCTGTGCGACAGGTGTCCGTGCTCAGACGCAGACAAGATCCATTCTGTCTGCGTACAAGTATGGACACCCCCACCCGCACGGATGTGCGGCTCGGGTGAGCGTATGGCGGCATCCTCCCATAGAGAACAGGCTGCTGTATACAATCGAACGCAGCACCTGTCCTTTCCGGGAACGGCCTGATACGGCCATGCACGCCGCACGGATCTGTACAGGCCGACTTTTAGCTGTGTGAATCAGGACTAAAGCAGCAGCCCAGCTTCATTACAGCAACAGAAGGGGATGGTGACAAGAGAGAGTAAATAGGGCCTTGCTGGTGAAGGTGGTCTATTAGGGGGCACTGTCACCTTGCCCATATCACCATTGTTTAATGGCCAGCATTCATACTGCCCCTTCCTTCCCGTAATACAGGTTAAATAAAGCTTTCATGAGAGAAATAACAGGGCTGCCACTGCTGAGCTCTGTCTGAAAATGCTAGTTACTTAGTTGTTGTGCTAATCCCCTGGCACCAGCAAACATGCAGATCAGAAAAGTGAGAAGTCCTTCTCCTCATACATGTTCCAGGGTTGTGACTCAATAAAGTCAAAAAGGTTTTTCAGGGCTTGTTCACACCGAGTGCGGAGCAGAGCAGTTACAGAACGCATCAAAAATGCATCCAATGTATCCCAATGGTATTTTGGGCTCTAGTTCATATCACAGCATTCAGTTCCAGAGCATGTGGAAAAACTGCAGCATGCCCTATTTTTTTTCTGCTCTGGAATGCACGCAAATGCATCAAAAATGCATGCGAGCACCTTGGAACGCACCGAAAGCCCATTTTAGGCTACAAAAAAAAAACACCCGGAAACGCGTCAAAACACACTGCACATGCAGAAACTCGTCCGGATTTGGTGTGAATAAGCCCTCAGCTGTTTCAAACACTGCTTAAATCACTTACAGTGGACGCTCCAACTTGATGTTTAAAAGTTTTAGTTTCCTGCAGAATCAGCTGAGCTGCCCCCTGAGCATTGGCCCTGATATCCGATTTTGTACTTTGGTGAGCAGCATGCAGTTATTTCCGTGCTGTGCACATTTTGATGCGCGTTAGTAAAGACACACGTTTTGACTGGCAGCTCATAAAACATTGCGGACAATAGGGCGCTCGTTTAAATGCGCAAAAACGCTCATGAAAATGTGCAACATGCTTCTGCCGTACATTTTTGGCCATTTCCAATTAAGTCTATATGGCAAGATGCGCTTCTAACTGCCAAAAGAAGCTCATGTACCTTTTTGGGAGTGTGGCCTCTTTCTGCGCAGGTGTGAACCAGGGCCAGAGAATATTCATGGGATTTCTTGTGTTAGACACTTAAAAGCGCTTTTCGAACTGCTCAAAAACTCTTTAGGTGTGAACCACACCTCAGAGTCACTCCTTTCCCTAGCAGGGTCCTATGGAGTCACCCTTGTGTGTAACAGCAAGCTGTTCCCTTCGCCTTTCTCCAAGTTAGTAGATGGACAGCTGCTGCAGACTGCTCTGTCCCTTGTGATCTTGTACCGGACATGTAGTTCAGGGAAGCCGAGGTGAGAGAGTTGGAGCCAATTGTTCAGAAACATGACGACTATAAGTGCTTGGGCAAAAATGAAAATAAATACTTAGCTGGGAAATTTATTTTTGTTTGATCTGGATTCATTATTGAAATGAATGTTTGACATTAAAGTAATATTAAACTCTCCAAGAGCCTAAGTTAATTGCTGCCTGGTGTGATAACACAGCACAGCGAGGAGAAACCCTACTTTGACCACGAGTCTGCGCTGAAAGTGTAATGACTCAACGCCCAGCTTCCCGATTGGCCAGAAAAACGCCTCCATGCTCTCTTGTCATCTGGTGACGAGGGAACATGGAGATGGCTTCCCGGCTAATCAGGAAGCCAGGCAGTGAGTCATTACATGCTGCCCGGCTAATCAGGAAGCCGAGTCATTACACACCTCCCGGCTTCCTTAATGGGACTTCCGGTATCGGGAAAAAAATTACTGGTACTCGATACCAAAAAAACGGTACCGGTGCATCCCTATTCTAAACTTTCATAGCTCTACTACAACAAAAAGCGTTCGAGTTGCTATATTTGTCTCCACTGTGTTCTTCTCTTCACCAGAACAGGAAGTGAGGAGATATCTCCCCCGTGATAACACAGATTATTATTATACAGGATTTATATAGCGCTAACAGTTTGCGCAGCGCTTTACAATATAAGGAAGACATTACAATCACAATACAATTCAAGACAAGATGGTAAGGAGGGCCCTGCCCCTGAGGGCCAGATGCCAATAAAGCCTCATAGGAGGATCTAACCCTTCTCCACTCTTTCCAAAAATTGATAAAGGTTTTGTCTGGAGTCCTCCCTTAAAACTAATTTCCTTTGTCTTCTGCGCTTTGTCTTTACTGACACGTCGCCATATTATATCTTCACATCAGGACCACAAATATACATTTATTATCATACACAAGATACCTTCCAGAATGACAGTTTTTGGCAAGCTTATTTAATAAGATGAATTGTACAACCTTTTGATGTACAGATTTCTCTGCACATTTTCCGATGGTTTAAAAGCAAAAACACAAACTACAAATTAATTCAGAATACCTAATTTGCCTAAACCTTGTACCTTATTAATGCATTTTTCTGACATTTTATTGAAGAGTGCCTTAGGTCCCATTCACACCAGGGAATTGCAGTAACGCACCTCATCTGCATTGGTGCACTGCAGTGTCATTAATTGTGAATGGCACCACACCAGCACTGCAATGTACTGCAGCACAGTGTATAGGGGGTCTATGTATAAACAATCTGCAGAGCCCTTCCCCCTGCCAATGTCTGAGAAGATTAATTCTGTACGAAAAGATAGAAATATACAAACATTCTTTCTTTTCAGGTTGAATGTAATGTACTATCACATTATGGCCACTAGATGGCACTGAGACTAGGAAATACTCCCTATGCTCATCAGCTCCATCTAGCGGCCATAATGCAGTATTACATTCCATTCAACCTGAAAAGAAAATATACAAAGCATGCCTCGATTTGAACAGAATGAACATTCTCAGAGATGTGCAGGGTAAATAACTCTGCAAATGTTTATAAATAGTCAACAAGGTGTCCTGTATGAAAAAATGCAGCCTGCTCCAGTTTTGCATGCGTTGCATTTCGGGTCATTTAAAATGAATGAGCTGTTAAATAGATGTATGCCGCATCGGACATGAATGCATGCGCTTTGGGGTGAATGGAACCTTAGAAATGATGGTGCAGAGAGCAATAATAATTTCCACATTGCAATAATCGTTAGCATACAATCAGATTACGCTTTACTGTAGTCAGATGAGACAAGAAGATTTCTGAATAGTCATGCTCTGCTCATCATCACTGCTCCTTGCCCCACCATGACTGAACTCTTCATTTGGCCAAGATGGCATTATAAAACCACTTTCATAATTATGAAAGTCAACCACATTATTTCAAGAAGATAATAATTTGCACAACATTTGGCAGCTATTCTTGTTCCGTCCGCACCAGCTCCATGTACTTTCTCATCTTCACAATCATCCAAAGTGGAGCTACGAATGCCTTCAATTCATCCAGCCTCAGCTCCACCGAGTCCCTGTAATAAAACCAGCCACCGCCGAGAGATATAAATGCGGGAATGGAGAACTGGAAACAAAATGTCATCGGTTCAATTCATTTCAATAATGAAAGTGTATGTGCACTTCTGGTGTAGTTATCCTTTACTGCTCCTATGCACCATATAGTTGCGCTAATTCATAAATCAGCCCCTTGGTGTTCACACTGCCCTAATACAAGCTGAAACCACTGTGACTAGGCCTCAGGTTTTAAAGGGATATTAAAGTCAAAAAGGTATTTGAGCTTTTTCAAATGATGAAATCACTTACAATGGCACTGGTCCTGATTTCCTGTTTTAGGGTGCCTCCACAAGACCCTGCAAGGGAAAGGAGCCACCCTAAAACAGGATATCAGTCTCCAGAAACACAGCAAGCCAAGCCTTTCCCTTCCCCCTCCCCTCTCATCCTTCTACTTCTTCAATCCTTACTTTTCCCTTCTCCAGGATAGTAGATGGACAGCTGCTGTCCCTTGTGATTTTGTATTGGACAGGAAGCTCAGGAAAGCCAAGTTGAGAGAGATGGAGCTGTTTGGAAACATGATGACTGCAAGTGCTTGGGCAAACATGTAAAGAGATACTTCCCATCATGCCTCTGTCACTGGGAGCCATGCCTGTGGCTGACGAGTCTTTCTATGCCTCCTGGGACTTGCAGTTCCACAGCAACTGGAGTGCTGAGATTGCCTACCTCTGGAATAGCTACTACAGAGAACTCAAATTGGTTAAAAGGAGAACTATGGGGTTAGGGCTTTTCCCCATAGTTCTCCTTAGGGTAACATGAGGACACAAACTAGCGTCCTCCCGTCACCCTAGGCTCAGTATACCGCGAGCTGTAGCTGGATATGTCTGGATCCGCCCAGCTGCGTGACTGACAGCTGGCTCTGCCTATCTAGAGGCAGAGCCAGCTGTACCCGCCCCCTCCCCCGTCCGTTCCGCCAGTCAACGCTGGCGGATCGGAGCGGGGGAATCCAGCCCCTCCCATCACGGCAGAGAGCTGGGACAGGATCGAGAGGTGAGCGAACGCCGGTATGTGTTAGCTCACCTCCCGATCTACTAAGCCGACCTGTGACAGTCTCATTGTCACAGGTCGGCTAGAACTATGAGGTGAGTGAAAAGCACTCACCTCATAGTTCTCCTTTAAGTGCAAAAGTGCTCTAAAAACAACTGTTAGAATACGTTGGCAATAAACAATGTGTCCTTTTTGAAGTATACCGACTCGTAGATTGGCATTGTGAGAAAGAGCACTAAAGCACAACCATGGGACAAGATGCCATCCATACCTATACTCATCAGTGGTTGCCAAATCCAAGATATCTCGGTCCAAAAGAAGGTACACCTACAACAAACACAGTAGTGTCACTATTTTTGGTTTTATATTAATATTATTATACAGGATTTATATAACGCCAACAGTTTATGCATCAATATGAGGAAGACATTACAATCACAATACAATTCAAGACAAGATGGTAATGAAAGGCATGATAAATATTCATTAGCCAAATGGGTAATGTGCCGATCTTTTAATTGGGTATCACTCTTTTAAATGTCTAACATGCCACAATCGTACCATTTACTATAATGAAAGGCATGGTAAATATCCAGTCGCCAAATGAGCGCTATTAATTAAAACATATAATAACTGAAAGGAATTTTATCCTGAAATACCTGAACACTAAAAGCACGCAACACTATTCAATCTTTTTCTATTGTGCCAAAAACCTTAAAGGAAACCTGATTTTCCAGTTCATTCCCCGCTTGCCTCTACCTGTTACCAATGTGGGAGTGTGATCTCAGAACTGAGCAATTTTGATGATGTGGAAAGTTAAAAAGTTCACTCCACCCAATAAACTATTTCAGTTATACAAAAGGTAAAAGTCACGGGCTTAATTATTCCCCAGTGTTTAAAGCGCTCCAGCTTTAGTAACACATACTGCGGGGGATTTATCAAACCTGGAGCAGAAATAATCTGGAGCAGTTGCCTATGGCAACCAGCTTCTCTCTTCAGTTTGTTCAGTTGAGATTTTAAAATGAAGGATAGATGGTGATTGGTTGCCATCCACAGCTAATCCAGATTTTGTCTGCTCCAGTTTTGATAAATTCCCCTGAAAGTATATAAACATTTGATGTTTTCGATGGTGAATAAAATATGGGTTTAAAATGTTCAAATCATTTCATTCTGGAGTTCTGCTTTAATCATTCAGACCACTAGTGGGGTAATCTGCTGATCTCATGGGGTTTCATTCTTTTAAACAGCGTACATGTTTGTAATATCCCCTTCGTACACCGTACCAATGTGCCCCAATATCCAACGGGTGCTGGAACAACTGGTGGATGCCGCCACAATATACAATCTAGAAGATACGATGTCCGCACACTATTCTGCTTCGGAATGTCCTTTTTATCCGTATTCCTTTAGCATGACATGTGAACGCCAATCTTCTAGATAATTCTTTTAAAAATCCAACATGCCACAAAACATACCATTTTGCCACCTGTGGCTTTCATGTGCTGCTGTTCTGTCAGCCATTGCTTGTCCTGGGCATCAGCAGCATACTGAAAATTTAACAAGACAGGTACATGAGCTACATTAAAAGTGGGACATGGAGAGGAACATACACTACAAGACAGACTGGCTGGTAGACATACACTATATTGCCAAAAGTATTGGGACGCCTGCCTTTACACGCACATGAACTTTAAATGGCATCCCAGTCTTACTCCGTAGGGTTCAATATTGAGTTGGTCCGCCCTTTGCTGCTATACCAGCTTCAACACTTCTGGGAAGGCGTCCACAAGGTTTAGGAGTGTGTCTATGGGAATGTTTGACCATTCTTCCAGAAGCACATTTGTGAGGTCAAGAACTGATGTTGGACTAGAAGGCCGGGCTCGCAGTCTCCGCTCTAATTCATCCCAAAGGTGTTCTATCGGGTTGAGGTCAGGACTCTGTGCAGGCCAGCCAAGTTCCTCCACCCCAAACTGAATACAGGTTAACTTTAACCACACATCCATTGTTTCTACTCATCAGTGAAGTTGCGAAATAACACAGGTGTGTGTTTCTGAAGGGGCCAGGACTATCAGCCATCTCACAACCCCTGACCCCAATGGGAGGAATATTGTGATGAGCGAGAGACACTGTAATCTTTGATTGTAAATGCCATGTGGTTGCAATATGGGTTTCTTTTATGTGACATGATTGCTTGGTAGTGGCTGCACTTTCATCTGAGACATGGACTGTACTTACCCAACATAGGGCAGAATGGGACCTTTGAGAAGTCGATTAGAACAAAAAACAGGAGGTGCCACCAAATGAAGAAGAGTCCAAAGGAGTTTTTATTGCTAGCAATAAAGCATCAAAGTGCCAGAGTGTTTAGGGGAGAAACAAAGACCCCCTTCATCAGTGCTTCAGGCATAACTCCAAAGGGGAATCCTTTGGGGAATGGACTCAGGGAAAGTTACAATGAGAATGACAAATATGAGGGCACATGCAGCAGTCGGCAACTGAGAGGAGCCTTTCAATTGTTGACTGCTGCATGTACCTATGTACCTCTGATCAATATCAATGTTCATTCCCCAAGGGATTCCCTTTTTGAATTACACCTGAAGCTCTGATGAAGGGGGTCTGTGTTTGCCCCCAAAACACGTTGGCACTTTGATGCTTTTCATTGTTACCAATAAGCACTCTGGATTCTTCTTTGTTTGGTGGCACCTCCATTTTTGTGTTCTATTCATCTTCCCATCTATGGTCATCCTCCAAGGAGGTTCCATATGACAATTTAACGATCATCCAGTTAAATCTAAACAGGATTTAATTTCTAGGTTTAGATGTCAGTGATTTTAAAATAGAACAGATCATTCTAGGATAATGTACCTAATGGCAGCATGTATGTGACTTCTTAGTTACCTTAAACAGTTCTGGGTGTTTGGTATAAATCCGTCCCCTGGTTCCTCCCATGCCTAAAGCCCTAGGAACAAAACACAAAACATATTGGTGAAAAGTTATATGGTTAAGGCAATGACAGACACCTAGAAATGACTGACATGCTTACGTCTACTTACTTGTTGGCATGTGACCCCAGCACAAATGTCGTTTTCTCATCCAGGCTAGATGGATCCCACTATAACAAAATAATACAGGAAATAGAATGTATATGCATGAGGTGACCAATACACTTTAAAATATAACAAGCTGCTATTGCTGACATTTCTGAAGGTACAAGCTTTAGGAGCGGTGACCCTTACCCTTCCATCACTAGTTACAGAGTCAAGGACCTAGAACAAGCATGTTTCTAGACAATGACTCTCCAATTAGTAAAGGAAGAGTAAAAAGTGATAGCCCCTGTAAGAGAATGCCATTGGTAGTATGAGCTTCAGGATTGACAAGATATGCGTTGTAATCAAGACTTTACTCGCACAAGGCAAACGTCACAGCTGGACTGAATGTTTTATAGGTTTGTAACCTTTTATTTTCAACTGGTTTTTTTAGATGCAAAAGATAATAAAAAAATTGTCAGGCCAAAACCGAAAATTACTTTTTCCAACCTTTTAAAAAAAATGTATAATTATTTAATTTTTTTAACTTATTTACTTTCCTGTTGGGGGCTCTAGGGAAATATAAGGGGCCTAAACTGACCCCTGATATTTACCTTTAAAAAAAAAAAAAAAAAAAAGAGATTGAGGACAGAGTCCGCAATCTCTTTCTCTGCAGCCCCTGTTATGAATGCACAGGAAGCCTCTATACTTGTGCTCCTGTCCATTCATACATTGTGAACATGGTAACTTACACTATATCCACAATCATGAATGAGCAGGAAGTGATGTACATCACTTCCCATTAATTCTTAACTGGTACATAGTAAGCACACTGTGTCGAGTTATTAACAGTCAACGATCAGTGAGTGTTTGTATATCGCTCTCCATCTGTCAGAGGAGGCCGAGTGGGGATGGGGAGGATAGCTCCGCCTCCTGTGACAGATCACAGCAATCTCCTCCACTCACTGAAATAGGACGTGGAGCAGGGAGGTGCGGGAGGAGAGCTCCGCCTCCTTTAAGATGACAGCTGTCACCGAACATACCGCCGGCATCCTAACTGCTGTCAAGGCCCGCTTGACCTCCTGAAAGCTTCTTTCCTCCCTGCTGGGCACCGGCCCGCATCAGAAGGCACAGACTGTCGCCCAGCAGGCGAGAGAGATATGAAACAATCATTATGGCAAGTAATAATAATTTTCATTAAGAAAAAAAAACAAAAACCTTTGGCCCTTCCCGTCGGATTGGATCAGCAGTCTTGATTTTCAGCCTGTAGAGAAAAAACATAACAGATCCTATAACTCAAATAAGTTCATATATGAGACAGATCTCTGCAGGTCTGTGACCTCCCAGCAGAGAACTCTGCAGTTGGTGATAAAGCCTTATATAGTGGGGAGGACGCGCCCCAACCTGTGATTGGACAATGAAGGTGCAGTGGCACACTGATGACATCACCCCTGCACTCTCCCCTCCTGTAAGCATGTTTACTGGGTTACACTGACAGCACGGTGCAAAGCAGTAGAACCCTAACTGGCTCTGAGTACTACCTCTCCCTCTCACAGTGATTTCTGCTATTCAAGGGGCTACAGGACTCAGATATCACACAGATATGTGAACCTTTGCCAAGGTGAAAATACATTAGTTGCATTCTAGGTCAATAGTTGCATTCCAGAGAGCTTTGAGTGTCAGGCATCCCTGGCACTGATCAGCTAAGGTAAATGGACATGCAGGCACCATGGAGCGAGAAAGAAGTGGCATTTTTGCCATCTTAGACTGTGTTGTTTTTCAACAGATGCAAAAGTGCAGAACAGGATTCAGATCTAATCCAGACGACAGATTATCATAAGATTATTTGCTCTTACAATGCGAGTCCTAAGGAATTTCGGTCAGGGTGGAAGTTCAGTACAGGGGGGCGTCCTTTCCTCTGTAAGAGAGACAGTCTTTAGTTAAGGCCTTCTAAGGAAGAATGAATTATGTATTAATACTGTACATTGTCCTTACCTTTTTGGGCACTGGACTCCTCCGCATATTTGACTCCTCGTCTACTTGTCTTGGTCGCTGAGCCAAAGACAAGAAAAAACAGAAACTCAGATGCTACCAGCTACTCAAAATATCTGATCTAATTCCGATTAACACACTGAACCACTTGAGGGCTCCATATTGTTAAAGCTATGCACAAAGCCACAAAACAAAAAGAAGCAGAATCTACAATTAGATGGTAATGTGTGCTCAAGCTTAAAGAGGGCCTCCAATGCATTCACTGGAGAGAGATCCTGGGTCACAGCAACCAGAAGCATTAAAGGAGAACTACGAGGTGAGTGATTTTCACTCAGCCTCATAGTTCGAGCCGACGTGTGACAATGAAACTGTTACAGGTCGGCTCAATAGATCGGGAAGTGAGAGAACACATAACGTCACTCCTCGATCCTGTCCCTGCAGAGAGCCGTGACTGTCACTCACGGCTCTCTGCAGGGACCCCCCCTCCCCGATTCTCCAGCGCTTTCTGGAGGAACGAACGGGGGAGGGGGCGGGTACAGCTGGCTCTGCCTCTAGATACAGTAGGTAGAGCCAGCTGTCAATCACGCAGCTGGGTGGATCTCGACAGTAATGTCGGGATCCATCCCGGCTGCGGCGGTCTCAGTATACCGCGAGCTGTAGCTCGCGGTATACTGAGCTCTGGGTCACGGGAGGACGCTAGTTTATGCCCTCTCGTGACCCTTAGGAGAACTATGGGGGAAAACACTGACCCCATAGTTCTCCTTTAAGCACAGAGATACCTATATGGCCTTCGGAATCTATATTGTGAAATACCTTCTGACAAAAGTAATATATTTTCCACCAGCAGTCCTGGTGCCACACAATGCATTGACATCGTGCTCCTATAATAGATATATATAAATGAACTGCGCCAATAAGCAAACTAACAGCTACAAGGCACTAGAATGTACACCCACTGTGAGTGTGTATACGTGAAAATAAATAAATGTGCCGAGCTACAACAACGAGCAATACAAAAAAACAATAATATATATTTTTTTTAAATGAAAAAAAAACAACAAAAAAACAACATTGTTGTATTGCTCATTGTTATAGTTCAACATCGTGCTCCAATCACAAGTTAAAGCCTTGTCCGAGGGGGCTAATCAACAGCATCAAATGGCACCTAGCACATAGGGTTCCATTCCATTATATAACGTTCGCCCTGTGAACATTAAATCTGTGCGGTTTTATGCCTAAACCAATGTGTGTGGTTTTTTTTTAACAAGGCAATGTATTTTTAAATGTTTTATTCTCCATGTAACCAAGTTGTACGTACAAAAATCGAACCCACAACACGAGGGGCTTTATGCAATTACCGAATGAGCCAGCAATTTTTTAGGGTGACCCTGTTGTAAATTCCATTAGTACAACTTACTTTTTATTATTATTATTTTTTTTAAAACATGCTGCCTAAACCATCAAAGCAAACCTGTCATTAAAAAAAAAAAGTTCACTAGTCAGCCTTAGGCTGCTGCTTTAGCTCCTGGTGCTGCACCATGAGGCAAATTCAGTACTTGCACAGTGCTCCTCATATGACAGCCACTGGCTGATCAGGCACAGAGCCGTATACGGTCACTGGGCAGCAGCAGGAGTTGAAGTAGGGAACAAGGCCACGTCATGGCATCAAAGCGTACCTAACACAAAGTAGTTTTTTTTTTGTTTGGCTATTTTTAATGACAGGTTTATTGGATGTTTTGGACAACATGTATACAGAATGGATAATTAGAGGATAATGGGAATAAACATAACCGAGTTGTACTACACAACAGAAGGGTACCTGGGAAAAACAAAGGGGTATATATTTCAGTTTTTAACTGCACTGTTAGCTGTATTTCCCTGACTCTGCTCCCACCCCAATCCTCCTCACCAACTTTGCAATAACATTTCTTTACACTTCATGCCAGGAGTCCACTAAGACAGTAATAGCAGTCTACAACTATCAGTTGGGTGTTTCCTCAGGTTGCAAAAGAACACCAGAGTAGCAAACTCTGTCCTGGCTGTAAACAATGACGAAATATATTTGCAATGTTGTTGCAGTAGGGAGACGCAGGCAGGGAAGTACAACTGAAGCCATGGTTACCCTTTATACATGCAAAAGAAATTGGTCAAAATCTTTCCTTTCTCCATAAGGCATCCACTGTACCTTCATAATGGGGACCTCTATGATAGGCTTCATTATCTTTTTGTCTGTGAAGAGAACCTTAGCCTGGATAAGATAACGAGAGGACCAGTTAATACAGAAAAATAAGGTAAGCATCCAGCAACAGATTTGATTTTATTCGTTCACCTGCTCCAGACAATTGCGACATGTGTCACGGATTAGCTGCTCCGGGTTTACATGATCCCCAACATTTTCTCTCACATTCACAGCAGCTTTCTGAAAGAACTAAATGGGAAAAAAAAGGATATTTACGGAACACACTCTTTAAAGTGGCCCTTGTTATTTCCTTTTATTTACCTTGTGTAGAAGAGGTTTTAAGCGCTTTCTTGCTCCCTCTCTCGGCACAGCTTTCTATTAGTGTTGTGCAGGGGCTTGGTGAGTTCGCCCAGGCCCGCACAAAACTGTCACTGACACACTCCTTTCCCAGCCTAATCAATTGCAGTTGGGGCATTCCCCACCCTGCAGGTACACGTCAGGGCCAGGGAATGCCTCAGCCACAGCTTATTGACCCAGGAGGGGGTGTTTCAGTGACAGTTTTGCACGGGCTTGGGCGAACTCAGGAAAACTTGTTTGGGACCCAACTTCCCAGACATCACTTAGCAATCCTTAGATCGCAACTGTGAAACTCTGCATACAAAATCAAGTTTACATTCAAAGGGCAGATGTGCAGAAATGCATGGTCTATGTGGAAAAGACGGTCATACACGGTTACAGTTTGCCCAGAAACAATTACATAGTCCTTTTTTTCCCCAATTGGCTGGCATTATCTTGTTTTTCTGTCACACTTCACAGTCATAAAGGCAATGAGCTGTCAGCCAAAAGAAACAAAATAATTCCAACTAGGGTTGCACAGATACCAAGTACAGTACTTGGTACAAGTACATGTACCGATACTTTTGAGCTCCAAGACTACACTAGAGAAAAATACAAAAATGAGGAGGCAGCTGTCATTTGTAATGGGCACACGGAGCTCCTGGGATTTGTACATCTCTGTTTTAATGTACGATTTTGTTTTTATAAATATAAATAAAGGGATGCACCGATACCAGTTTTGCGAGTATGAGTACTGGTACTTGCCGAGTACTTACAAGTACGAGTACTGATACATTTTTGTTTATTGTCATGTTACAGTTTTTCTAAAACAATACAGACTAATGATTTCAGGACAGTGGGGGAGTGCCAGAGCCAGGTCCCAGCTGCAACTGCTGAAGCCCTGGGAGATTTCATGAAAATGCCAAGTATCGGCACTGGTACTCGAAAAGTATCTGTGCAACCCTAATTCCAACCAATCATAAAAGGAGGGATGATGATGTCACTGTATCTGGGAGGACTTCGCTCTATATAAGGATACCTAAAAATCATGCTATTAAAATGATTCATTTACCTCTAATTTGTGATAGGAATCCTAATGTTTAATGTAACAGAGGATTTATGTAAATCTGTGTCCAAATTGTGTGTACATACTTGTGTTTTGTTAACTTTAAGATTGGGGTGGAGGGCCTGATAGCAAATATAGACACTGGGGGTCCACTGAGTGATCACATGACCAACAGGTCATCTTTATACTGCTGGAGGTAAAAGAGGGGTAAAGATCTTATACTGAGGTGGGTTCATATGGCAGGAGGTGACAAATCAGATTTATAGCGGCATCAGGGGTGTATTAAAGCTGAACTCCAGGAATTACACAATGCAGTGCACCCCCCATTATTGCAAAGGTAAAATGCTCATATCTAGGGGTAGACAAATAAGGAGTAATACTTACCTTACCTCTCCCTCCAGCAGGCTCTGGCACTGTCTCCTCTTTGATTATGCAGGCTATACGCAGCTCCTCACTGTTCTCATGCATGATGCAGAGCTACTGATGTTGGGGTGTTGCAGGGTTTCACTGCATACAGAAATGTCCCCAATCTCCTGCATACTAATGCTGCAGTCATGTGATGTAATATTGTTTGCCGAGATTGGCCTGGCCAGGAAGGGGGTCTAAACACCTGGTCTTGAAGTGGTTAAAGAACATTCTGCCATAGGGACAATTGGGGGGAAGCATCTTCAAATCCATATTATCTGAACTGGAAATCTGACTTGTGAGGCTGTTCGTATTAAAAATACAAGTTGGATTCCCCACTGTTCCAAAACCATGTAGCTGCAACAATACCCCACCCCTTCAAATCAAGTATTATGTTGACAGCACTTACCTTCATGTATTTATTGAAAACGTTCTGAATTTCCTCATTAATGCGTGGCTGCAGAACTGCACGAAGAAGATCCATGGACACAACTGGGTCAGTAAAACTGCAAAATATAATGACAATTGCAAGACACAAGGAGGGGAATTGATCAAAACTGGATAAAGACAGAATCTGGAGCAGCTGCATATGGCAACTAATCAGACTTTTTTTTTATTTTTAAAAAGGTAACTGACCAAAGTGAAGAGAAAAGTGGATTGGTTATTTTGGGCAACTGCTCCAGTTTTGATAAAATCCCCCCAATAACTAAAGCAAAAACAAGACAAACTGACTTATTTAATAAAACAAACAGCAAGTTGGCATTCAATCAGAATTTAATGTTTACCAACCATACTACAGTTGGTTAGTAAAGTGGCGGGAAAGCCAAGTGAACAGCATTCAACTAGCTATACTCAGGGCAGAACACTTATCCATCAACCCCCTAGAGTTGCAACTTAAAGCTTTAAATACATGCCTACTATCTGATGTATAAGTGTAACACTGCCAGGTATATATCACACCTCACAATGCCATTATCTGCTTTTCTTTCCAGAACGCTGGAGCCATCTTTGTTCAAGAACTATTAGATCGGCACCTCACGTTGTGACTTGTGTAATGTTACAATGGGATCACTGGGGAAGGAGTATGAGGAAATGTCATTCTGCAGGCAGGAGGAATCATTCCAGCCTGGGCAAAAAAATAAATTTAATGATAAAAGCTTTAAAATAAAAATACTGTTGATGTTAATAGTGACACTGCAGGAGTTTTCCTGATCAACGTTGCCTGATGTATCCGGAAGAGCAGCAGCTAATGATGTAGATCTGAAAATGTATTGAACATTTCAGGAAGAGAAAGCTAGCCAATTCTTCAACTAAAATCCAAAAATATTTATATCTACATAGGCTTTATATGGCTCTTTCTCCTACCTGACAGCTACATGAGCGCGCCGTCCTCTGCGCTGAACCTGGCGATGTTTAATCATGATGTTCCAGGGGCTCTGAAGAATTAAAAACATATAGTAGATTTAGATGAACTTCACATAAGTGACTAACATTTAAAACTAGGGCTGGTAATGATTAAAATTTTCGTGTTCTAAATTTTTTTTAATCGATTAATTATAACGCACATACAGATCCAACTACATTGGCCTATACACATACAGCACAGCAATGAAGTAATAAAATGAACCTCGTGTGCCCCACTCAATATGGCCGCCGCTTGAGTGGGGCAACTCAGAATAATAACGTGCTGGATTAGTGTGATCCTAGTTCATTTTATTACTTCATTGCTGTGCTGTATGTGTATGGGCCAATGCCTTGGCTGGCGCTCGTGCAGAAAGTTTCTTGGGCAAACCCACCGGCCCAAGTGGCTCCGTCGCCTAACGAAGGGGGAGGAGTCCGGTGACGTCAAGGACATCGACGTCACCGGACTCCTTCCCCCTTACCTTCGTTAGCTGTCACGGACATCCACGTCACCGGACTCCTCCCCCCTTCCCTTCGTTAGCCGACGGAGCCACTTGGGGAAGGGGGGGGGGGTGTAGAGTCGCCGATGGGACTCCGGAAGCCGGCGGAGAGGTGAGTGCTTTCATTAGCGATCAAAATAATTTGAATCGATCAAAAAGTTTAACGATGAATCGAGAAATTAATCTTTAATTTCCACAGCCCTATTTAAAACCTACAGTTATCACCTTTTAGGGTTGATGCATCCGAGCAGCTGAGCCCAGACAATGTTTTGTACAGCCTCCAGTAAAAGTCTAAGGCTGTACATGGGTATATGCCGCTGCTTTTGCACAACCATGTATGTGCCCAGTGATTTAAAAAAAAAAAAAAGTACATAGGGCCCCCTTGCTATGAAAGTGTTAATGCTTGTTAAGTCTAGGGACAGAGCATCAAGATGTAATACTTCAACTAGAAAAAATGGCAACCGCATGAATCTATAACCAGCCTTTATAGCAGGGTGCACATGGGAAGGCATACAACAATACAAAACACAAAAAGTCCCCAGCACACCTGCCAGCTAGCCTGCAACAAAACGAATTACCCTGTCAACAGTATGCGTTAAAAACAGAGGTTTTAGTTGCACAAACTTTTGGCCAAAAATATGTAGAAGCCACACCGCCGCTCCAAGGCACCTCTGCAAGGTGTGGTCCTAAGGCCCCGTTCACACCTGATCGTTTTACCGCACGTTCCTACGCTCGGTAAAACGCGCAACAGGTGAAAACCCATGTTTGCCTATGGGCATGGTTCTCACCTGCGCGTTTTACCGCCCGTTCGATCGCGTGGTAAAACGCCATACGCCCAAAGAAATACATGAGCTTCTTTGGGGCGTACTAACACCCATATCCCGCTGTTATCAGTCCGGATACCCCCTCGGAAACTCGCGTTTGACGGGCGTTTCTTTTACCGCAAAATCGCGGTAAAACCGCGCGGCAAACGTGAGTTTCCAATACGCGAAGGTGTGAACCTGGGAGGCAGCCTACTCCTCCTCAAAAGGTGAGGAGTAGACTGCCTCCCAGGCACACCTGCATTGAATTTATCAACTTCATTAATATGCTGGGGATCTTTTTGTGTTTTGTATTGTTGTAAGCCTTCCCATGTGCGCCCTGCTATAAAGGCTAGTTATAGATTCATGCGGTTGCCATTTTTTCTCGTTTGACTATTTTTGGTGTGGGGACGCACTGGGGGTCCCAGCGTGCATTTTTGGTTGCTGGGCCCCCAGTGCGTCCCTACACCTTTTGAGGAGGAGTAGGCTGCCTCACAGGCACACCTGCATTGAATTTATCAACTTAATTAATATGCTCACACTTGGAGACTCAAATAGACTTAAGGTGGCCATACACTCTACAACCATCGCAAGACTTTAGTCTTGCGATGGTTGTACAGGGATTAAAAAAACGTACGATCTGCCTATCTTGGACAGGCAGATCGCACTCTCGATCATCGCAAGCCCGCCCCCCTGTGGGGCGGGCTTCCGATGACCTCAATGCTGAACGGGCAGTGTGCTGGTGCGCACACCGGCCCGTTCGGCATTTGTCTTCCGAGCACCGTTCTAACCAGCCGAGAATCGTATGATTCCCGGCTGGTTTTCGAACATGCTGGTTCGACAGAAGACGTGTGACCGTACAGTAGAAACGGTCGCACGTCTCCGTTCACACTGCTCGATTATCGTACGAAAAACCGATCGCATACGATTATCGTACGATAATCGTGCAGTGTATGGCCACCTTTATAAAGGTGCCCATACACCTTACGATTATCGGACGATTTTCGTATGTGATCGACTTTTCGTCCGATAATCGTATGTGTGCATTGCAGTGTCCGACCGACATTACTGTACAATCGTACGACTTTTGACGGTCAAGCATGTTTGAAAACTTTGCTCGATTGTACGATTGTCGTAAGGTTGCTGGCGTTTCCATCCGTCAAAAGTCGTACGATCTGCACTGCGCATACGCGAACGAAAAATCAATTACCGCATTTCGTCCAGGTGCTTTTCGTTAATTACAGCTAAATTAATCTTGCGATCATCGGGGCAGGATGGGGCTGTCGTACGAAAATCGTACGACTATTCGATCATCGGACAAACCTTTAGGACCACACTTTACAGAGGTGCCTTGGCGCGGCAGTGTGGCTTCTACATATTTTTGGCCAAAAGTTTGTGCAACTAAAACCTCTGTTTTTAACGCATACTGTTGACAGGGTAATTCCATACTGTTGACAGGGTAATTCGTTTTGTTGCAGGCTAGGTGGCAGGTGCGCTGGGGATCTTTTTGTTTTTTGTAAAGATGTAATACTTACCCTACTCTTAACTCTGACAGGCTCTGGTGCTCTACTCTTCTTACTAATGCAAAGGTTAGTGTGTGGGCTCTCGCCGTACTCATGTAAAGTGCAGGAGGAATGGCCATGCACTGTACATGATGATGTCAACATGCAATCACCGGACAGGAGCACCTTACTGAAGAGTAGCAATGAGCCTGGGCTTGGCACAAACCCAGTTCGCCTGAGTTCACCCAAAACCACTCAAAACTTTGACCGACCCCCCCACACCCTGGCCCATGCATTTGCTGCCCCACAGCTACACGTCAGAAAAGGGCGGGGAATGGCTAGGCAGCAGATTGGGCCAGTAGGGGAGAAGGGGTCAGTCACAATTTTAAGTGGGTTTGGGAGGAGAACTGGGTTCGCACCAAGCTACAGCTTATCACTACATCGAGGGGGCGGGGCTGGTCACATAGATGCGGGGAGCATGCAGAGTGAAGAACAGTATAAGCGTTGCACTTTATTCCTCTACCACCCACACTTAACCCTTGCAGGGGAGGGTCAGTTTTAATCACTTTTCAAACATAGGTAATCCGCCCAACCAAGGCCAAGCATAGGCATTAGGGAGCAATCAGCCATGTAACTACATGACCGTAGTGGAGGATCTGCTGCCAGGAACCTCTAGTGTAAGCCTATTAAGAGAGAATAACCAGTAATGATCACCAAGGATGATCTGTGAGGACCTATCCCTCACATGTGTATGGGTACCTGTACTGGAAGAAGCTACACATGATCAAGACAATAAGCGCCATTTTAGTGTTGAACATTCAGATATGGTATGAATGCAAGCACATGCAGACAAGCAGCAGCCATTTATAGTGTGTCTAGATCATTTTTCCAGGTACAGGTTGTGATATCACCTACACCAGGGACAGCACAGCTACCAGGATTAGACGTCTCTGCTGGGCTTGATAACAATGGCCGCCCCACTACTAACCGGTGAGGATCGCTCGGTGGGGTCCCCATCCTCCTCGTTCCCCAGCATCGTGTATTTGCTGGTTCTCATCATCTCTATCCCAAGTCTGCACCGACCCCGGACATCACTCACAACACGGGCGCGATGACATCATCAGTACGCGCCGCCTTCCGTACCCATGGAAACGGCCGGCTGTGCCTGGAAAGTTGGGCTAGAGTTCCATCAGTGTGTCTGCTAGCTCAGCTGATATCTAATAAAGTGTATAGGAGGATGAGATGAGCAGACTAAATTATTACAACTACCATATTATCTTCTAAAATGTATATTATATTAATAAAAAAATACATTGGGGGGCTTTATCAGAATCTGGTGCAGCTGTGTATGGTAGCCAATCAGCTTCTCTCTTAAGGTGGCCATACACTCTACAACCATCGCAAGACTTTAGTCTTGCGATGGTTGTACAGGGATTAAAAAAACGTACGATCTGCCTATCTTGGACAGGCAGATCGCACTCTCGATCATCGCAAGCCCGCCCCCCTGAGGGGCGGGCTTCCGATGACCGCAATGCTGAACGGGCAGTGTGCGCGTGCGCACACCGGCCCGTTCGGCATTTGTCTTCCGAGCACCGTTCTAACCAGCCGAGAATCGTACGATTCCCGGCTGGTTTTCGAACATGCTGGTTCGACAGAAGACGTGCGACCATACAGTAGAAACGGTCGCACGTCTCCGTTCACACTGCTCGATTATCGTACGAAAAACCGATCGCATACGATAATCGTGCAGTGTATGGGCACCTTAAGTTTGATAATGGAAGATAGAAGCTGGTTACTATAGGCTACTGCTCCAGATTCTGTCAGCTCCAGTTTTGATAAATTCCCCCTGGAATCTTTATCAGGCTTTTACACCAGTCTTTAAGCAGAGCTTAACCACCACCACCACCACCACCAAATAAACATGGCTACCAAAATACACTCTACTAACCAAAACTAATAAAGTTAGTAGTACTTACCTGCCTCCTTCTCGCACGTTTTCTTAACGCTCTGTGTACCCCGCACGTCTAAAATCCACACCGCAGATACAGGCACTTGGTGTGATCAGTGGGTTGGAAGAGAAGGACGAAGCTGGCTGCCAATGGTGTCATGTGCCTAAAAAAAAACAGGACTTTTCCTGTGTTCCCCAAGAAGGAGGGAAAGCCTTTTATTCACCAGGTGACTGGGATGTTATCCGGTGCATCCCCCCATGTCGCTCCTGTACAACATTACAATCATCTGGGGAAAAAAGTTCCCTCAAGATCTTGCAGTTAGGACTTGAGATCTTCCTGGATGGCACTGATGATTTTTTACTTCAGTGCAGCTGTGCATGGCTCTGGCCGCACAGTCATGTCCTCCATTCACAGATCTATTCACAGGGATCTGTTACTGGAAAGACTACACTTCCCATCTATCACCGCATTGTAGTCCTCCAGCCCCATAACAGTATTTCCATACTGAGGTACAGACCTGGGGCTGGGATGTAAGCAATGCAGGAGCCTGTGTATTGCACCCACGATGCCCTGATCATGGTTGCAATGCTCAGGCTTCAATGCAAACTTTTTAAAAATGTATGTATTTTATTTTATTATATGTGGGTACAGTTCTTACATTGTACTTTGTCTTTATAAACAGAGGTTTTAGTTGCATACATTTGCAAATGCACGTGGAAGCCACACTGCCGCGTGTAGGCACCCAGATTAGCATGGTCCCTAACTCTACACTAAATGTACCATTTATAAAGGTCTGGGCCACACTGATTTGTGTGCGCACCCAGAGGCATAACAAGGTCATGAGGCGCCTGGGGGCAAGTCTTTCATTAGCGCCCCCCACAAGCCAAACCATAGTTTAATGCTCTGGACCAATTTTTGCCCTGCCCTCAGATGGGCTGTGCAAAGTCTCAAATGGGCTTCGGGAGTCTCAGGTGGGCTGTGCAGAGTCTCAGGTGAAGCCGGGCATGCTGTGGTGCATCTAAAGAGGCCAGTGGCCCCCCTTTAGACTGGCCCTCCCTCCTCCGCCCCCTCTCGCTGTGGCACTGTGTGCACCACATCCCCAAAAAGCTGATTGCATTTAATCTGTCATAGATATTGTGTATGGGACCTTTCTGCTGCTTCAATGATACAGTCACATTCCATAGGTCTCTGTATGAAAATACACATTTTATAACTACAAACAAGATGTATCAATTCACATGCTATTAAAATACATAGGTAAATCAATGTACTTTATAGTGTCTGGTGACTCATCTAAGAATACAACCCGGGATTCTCCTGTTTTCTTCCGACGCATACATGAAAAAAATGTACCCTTGCAGTGGGGCTATGTCCGGACTGCAAGGACTAAGTGCCCATTTTGTCTAGGGGGCTCAAATAAAGCAGATATACTCACCTGATCCTCGGCCCTCCGGTGGTCAGCGTTCATCTCTTTCCCCGCTCCATTTTGGCTATGGAATGTCCCTCGGCGCCCTTACGCCCAATGCAAGTCAATGGACCCGCATAAGACGTGATGATGTCAGCAGTCCAGAGCTCAGGCAAGAAGAGGCTGTGGGGACCTATATCTACTGCTTGCTAGCAGTAGATATAGGCAAAAAAACGGGAGGTTTTAGAACCCCTTTAATGGGACTTCCGGTATCGGTATTCAGTATCGTCTAGTACCGGAAAATGAATATCGCTACTCGTACTCGATACCAAAATACAGATATTGGTGCATGCCTAATAAAAACCGAACCAGATGATACACCTCAGTTATCTTGTCCCTGTTGTAGCATAGAAAATTTGCTAAGTGGCGTACTCCTTCAGCAGCTGAACTTTTTATTGTTTTCCAAACTGGTTAAAAAACGTACAACACAAAAGATCAGGACAGAAAAGAGAAAAAGACAGAGGAAGAAGATAAAGCCTAAACACAGTACACAGAGAGGAACACAGGAAAAGTAAGAAAGAAAAGAAACAGAGGAGGAGAAAGCGAGAGAACAGAACAGAAGAGGTAGAGAGCAAGAAAAGAAAGTCCAAGACACAGGTACACCAGCACCCAGAGATGCTCCATCAAGGATCCAGCTTCCAGAGAAGCAAGGCTGTAAAAGAAGATAGAATTGCTGATCCCCACAGTGGGTCCAAACCACCAGTGACTATAAGAAGGCAAGGAGGTCATGATAATCAGAAAAAAAGTAAAAACCTTCCACTATAACCATGTTTTCCTAAACTGTTCTTAATGCTTGAGGGATGAAGTCAATTCCTCAATGACATAGAAATCATGGACCTTATTGCACCACAAGACAAAGGGAGGCTGCATTAATCAAGTGGATCAAAAGAGATCTCTTATTCTTTTGTTTGAGTACATTATTTAGATGTAGCAAATATGCTGCGGGATTGTCCCCCAGGTCAGCTCATTTCTTACTCCAGGAGCATACCTCCAGAACTAGTCTCTTCATTGGAAGATTTCCCATCTATTCTGACAACCTGAGATTTGGGATTTTCTTTCACTTTCAGTGATAATGGTCACCAGGATAAATAGAGAGGGTGAATCTCCCTAATGGGGACACAGAAAGCAATAAAAACCTGACCTGTGTTCTAATACCTCTCCACTCTATCCAAAACTAGAAAACACAACGTTTTGGCTTTAGTTGCACTTCAAATTGACCCTGCACCTTAAAATGAAAGCCCAGCCATAAGAGAAAGAGAGCGTGTCTCATGGAAGAGGAGTCCACACACAACCCCTTAACGAGCATAGCTGCTGCCTGTAACTCCCAGGGGGTTAGACCGGGAGATCAGGAAGTGCCTAAGTTAGAGGACCCTCCAATGTGAGGGAGGAAATGTCTGAAGTGGGGATCCAACCCCCAGATGAAATAAAGTGACTGGCCTAAATTTGTTATCCCTCACCAGGACTCCAAAAGCCGGGTCAGACCAACCTAGAGGGAATTGCACCTGATTTTCTAACCAATCATGCCAGAGGATGGGGCCCTAAAAGACTTGACCTAGTTTGACGGTCCCCATCCAAGCACAGACACCGTTTTGTCTATAAATACACTTACGTAGTGATATAAAAATCACTTCGGTTGGAGAACATAGTTAAAGAGTTATTGTCAGGTTAATTGACGTATACTGACAGTATTAACTTTGGTCTGGGCATCCATGCATCAATGATCTCTAGTTATAAAAGGTTCATCTATAGTCAAAATTCCCACTGTCTCCTATATTACAAATCAGATTCAAACTTCCAAAGCAGGTTAGAATTTGCATGTATTTCTTTAAAGGTAAGAAAGCAAAGATCTTGCAGGGGGTTTGTCTGTGAACTACTATCCTGCATGACAAGCAGGGTTCTCAGATCACCAGAATACCAACAAAAGGGATTAGGGTAGACTGGGGCACTACAGCAATGTCTGGATGAAAAAACAATGAACTGATTAAATTGGTTGTACTTCCTATATTCATGCCAATGCTTATTTTCAGTTTAGATTGTAGCGCACCTTAAAGCCAAGTCTTTGCTACTTTTTTAACAAGCTAAGGAAAATAAATCACGACGGAAGCCTTATAGTTATTACAGTGAAAAATTAAAATAGAATTTAAAATAGAAGTTTCGAAATCTAGGTCACAAGGCTTTAGGTGTGCCCATTTCATCTATTAATACATTAATTAATATACTGTCATCAGCATTAAACGTTTTATTTAAATTTGCATACAATAGAATATTGTTACCCTGTTGTTTGACTGGCATGTAGGTTCTCATGCTGTGCCATGTGCAGATGCCATTATTGTGTTGTATTGGCTGTGTCACCTTCTATATTTACATCAGACGTGTCTTTAAGTCTATGGTTAGCCCTATAATAGCTGTTTGTAATAAAACGGTTTTGTTATTAAATAACATAAAAATTATCAATGTTTTCGCAGAACCGGGATAACCTGCGTCATTTAAAAAGGATATATAGCGAGTATCGTTTGTCCAATATTTAATTGGAATAATTTTATGTGCATATTGTCACTATAGTAGAAACTGTACATGATGCATCTGAACATCATACTTTCATGACTAAGAGCTACAGTATTTGACCATATCATAGTGTAGATTAAAGAGGAACTTCACTCTTATTCTAAACATGACAGCAAAGACACCATTAGAAATGTTAAGTAATGGCAAGCTACAAAAAGATACTTATAGGTAATTGTATGTTTTTATATTCT